TACGGCATGAAAGATAAGAACCTGCAGCTAAGGCCGTTTGCAAGTCATGGAAAGAGGGTCGTGATTAATTAATCTTCATGTTCGCGGACCGGGCAGTCGAAGAGGAGGAACCATGGGAGCGGTAGCGTGGTCCCGCCATACTGGTTTCTGGTGTCGCTTGCGCAGGAACAATTATTTGCTACACGCTCAAGCTATTCGCTTCGACTCCATGGAAGGTTCCGCAGAATTCGTGGATTGTACATATCTGGTTGATGTCGTATGGGTATAGGATGGCTGCCGTGCACATATCTTTGAATTCCGGCATCGAGGCCGAGTCGCTAACCGCTTTGAGGGAGGAGCGACCAGGTTACGTGAAATGTCTATCTTCGCATCAAGCCACTTTCACGTTGAGTGTGACATGTGACCGTCTTGAGATGTTGATATGTCTCGCAGAAGAAGGGCTCACTACGTCGTACTTGCGCGGTAGGCCTAGTGAGACCATTTCCTGACGTCACCACTCTTGCATGCCATGTACGTATCGCACTCTGTACGCATCTCCTCCATGGGATACCCACAACAGCACGAACACAATGACCAACGTCGTCCTCAACCACACGAAGCTCGGTGCGATAAGATGTCTGCGGGAACCAAGCGGCTCGATCGTGAAGATATTAGGTCTGCCGTACGGGAAAGTTGCCCAAAGATTTGCGCGCGCAGAACTCTCGAACAAGCTTTCTGGTGGAGAGAGCAAAAGGTTCCACGATGGAGTTTTCGATGCGACAAAGCCAGGAGCGTCCAGTATCCAGCCGTGGGGAAGCGTCAAGTCTGATGCAGCCAACATCCCGCTGCCAACCGATAATCTGCCGGATGACGAAGAACAGTCGGAAGATTGCTTGAACCTTTCCATACATCTACCGAAGTCATGTGTCGATGAAGGCGGGAAGATACGTTCGGGTATGAAGTTGCCGGTCCTTGTCTTCATCCATGGTGGTGCGTACTTCCTTGGTTCTGCGAATCGACCATATTACAACCCCGAAAATCTTGTGCGCCATGCTATTCAGCGTGGATCACCCATCGTCTTCGTAGGAATCAACTACCGACTCGGTGCGCTAGGCTTCTGGCATTCGGATCATGCTGGAGGTATGGTACCGGAGAACAATGGTCTCTACGACCAAAACACGGCGTTCGAATGGCTGCGCGAGAATGTTGAGGGGTTTGGCGGCGACGTGGATAATGTTACCGTCATCGGGCAAAGCGCAGGTAGCGAGAGTATCTCGGTGCAAACAATGCGTAAACCGTTGTTCAAGCGCGCGATCATGTTCTCGGGGACGCCAGTTACCATGCCTGCAATGACGCATGACGAGCATCACGATAACTTCCTCAAGCATGCTGAGAAGTTGGGGATTCGTATAAGAGAAGACGACGGCAGTGAGAGGAACACGCAATCAATAGCCAGAGACGTGATTGGCGTTGACGCGTCGAAGATTCGAGACCTGGCATGGGTTGGTTTGCCATGCACGAACAGCGAGTTCTTTCCCTTCGAGCGGCCGACCATGGATCTGGCTAGAAAGGGCAAAGTCGCTCCTCCTGATTGGAAAGACTGGGCGAGGCCTGTCGAAGCTCAAATCGTTGGCTCCACTACCTATGACGGCGGCATCTCCTACAATATGATGAGGAATGATGACAGTCGCAAGAACCATGCTCAAGCCTTCGAGCAGATTGCCAAAGATGTTCTGTCTCCCGAACAAGGTGCCGAATTGCTGAAGATATACGGTATCGAGGGGGGTCTTGATGATGCGGACGCACTCCAACGTATCTGCCTTTTTGAGAGCGACATAGGTTTCTTTGCGGCCGCGTTGAGCATTGCGGAAGGTGATCTGGTCAAAGAAACCTATTTTCAAGTCTTCGATCTTCCGAACCCTTTCCCAGGACCAATTCAGGAGCAAGGTGCTTTCGCTACGCATACTTTCGACATTGTGACGCTGCTTGGTGGCGTGCATGAAGACTGTTTGCCCTCGCATTATGGACCTGCGGTTGCTAGGTGGCGCGATACCATTCTCGATTTCGTTACCAGGGGGACGCCCGCTTGTGCAGAGTTTGTTGGTGTTGATGGAGGGAGGAGAGGATTGATGGTGGATGAGGGAGGCGTTCGCGAGGTCGGCAGTGAGGCGTGGTTGGAGAATGACGAGGGGAGAAGGCGGAGATTGTTCGATTTGGCTCGGCAGATTGATGCTGATACCGGACTGGACGTTCTTTGGGTCGACGTTTGTAGGCGCTTCTTGATGCGCGGGAAGTGAACGGACGGGACTATGACGCTGCATCTGTGGCAGCGTCACTTCATCCCGGAGTGTCGAACGTGTGTCTTGTCGCCTGTCAAGGTGAATTAGCATAATGAAGGATTTGGGTTTGGTTGCAAGAACATACCGGAAGACCTTCCCACCTATCCCAGACGCGAGGTGCTAGCACCCTTTGTCCTGCACTTCGACAGTGGTATGATTGGCCTCCGTCCAGCCAAAGTCTCACTGCCAGCGCTCGGAATAGGCGTTGCTGGTGCCTCGTACTCATCGTCTGTCTCGCCTTCAGCGTCCTGGTCAGTGATGTTACCATCACTGACGTCCTCGGATGCCTCTATGTCCAGACCCCAACCACCCAACTCAGCGAGTTCATCTTCCAGCGCCGGATCAAGCTGAGGGCTGGATACCTCAGGCGCCTGATCTGGTGATGATGAGACTCGCGGCGAGGACTTGTAGTCTTCTGCGCCGTAGATGCTGTCGTCATCTGAGTTTTCTTGGTGGTCGCTGTGGGCCCTTGAGCTATGCTCGGACGGCGGAGACGGGGTCCATTGTGTGGCCGGGAAGGTGTCGGAAGTGGCGGGGGAGGGAGGGACCGAGAGGAAGAAGGAGAGAGAGGGGGTGGGAGAGGGAGAGGAGGATGAGGAGGAGGATGGTGATTTGGGACTGTTTAGTGAGGCACGAAGGGCGTCCATCTCCCTCGCACCTCTGTCGACCATGTCTTCCAGCGCCGCAATGCGGGCTTCGTGCTGGTGGCCTATGTCGAGGGCCTCTCCCAGCTGGCTCTCACGCACCGCCATGCGCATCTCGAGCATCTTGACTTCGTCGCGTACAGCCTTGCTCACGAGATCCCGGATCTCGGTCTTGCTCATGCTGATCTCTGGTGCTATGTCATGTCAGATCATTTACCCAAAGACCAATGAGTGATGAGACTTACCTGGGCTTGACTTGGAGGTCATGCTGTATGCTGCCGCTATGAAGCCAGCAAGCAAAACGAACATGACTGAGCCCATATCGAGGGCGAAGTTGAGGAAGCCGTTCGGCTCGTAGTGCGTTTGAGGGAGATATCCTTCCATCTTGGTAGTGGTGCGAGCGGGATTGTTTGTAGGTGTGGGTGGGTTTCTGGGTATGTAGCTGTTTTGGATAGTGACGAAGCTGTTGGAGAAGAGGAAAAAGATTTGTGCGAAGAGATTTTGAGTTGTTGACGTTGCCTAGGTGAAGGGCAAACGGACGAGTCTTGGCAGTAGAAACCGTCTTCACCGCGACAATAATACCTACTCACCGCGCCTATATCTAGCTTAAATAGATTCTAGTACTACTCATTACTAATTTCGCCCCAAAGACTGTCGCTATTGTCTTCGATTGTCTCACTGTCGAACACGGACAGAATAAGACACTCGAAGAGCCGCCTCGAGGTGACCACCGCGCATTGTGACAATACAATATGTCTCACTATAGAACAAAGAATGAACTGTGTGGGAGCTGATCTGGAAAAAGAGAAAGCCATTCTTCTGATACGACTTGCTTGAAAGCAGGATAGGTGATGATGTGAGACGAAACCTTGGGAAAGCATTTTGGAGTATGACATTACACTGAACGTTCGCATAATACAATTGAATCAAAATGATGCGCTAGATTTTGGCTGGTGTACCGATGCAACTTGATGTGCGTAGACTTTGGAAGGTTGATGTTAGAAACTGAGGCGGGCTGTTCGGCTGACGCCGGGGATATCGTACGCGTCACGCTAGCATGACTCGTACTACCGAGACGCGTCGCGATGACGTGAACGTCCGCCAGAAGTTCCCCAGAGCTGCCTCCCTTCTAGTGTACGACAGATACACCTTCCCATCCTATGCTGCGTAAGCATGTCGAAAGCGCATTCGAAGTTGCAACCGCTACAGATTGGGATGGAATGCAGCTATCAACTACTTGAGGGAGCAGCTGCACAGCACAACAGAGACTGCTGGCCTTGAGATGCTTAGTATAAGCACGCGGATGCACGGGATTGTGGTCACTTCGGTGTGGGATGACTCGGAAATGATGCGCTCTTTTTGAGGAGGCAGCAGCTCGAGCATTGTTTAGAAGGAGGAACAGCACGTAATCTACGGGCGACACTTGACAGCGACGAAGAGTAGGTCTTTCTGTGTACTACAAGTGACCCTACTCACAGAGACTTCGATGCATGTGCGTACTCTTTTGGCGTTTTGGCCTGCAGGTTTATCGACCCGCAAACGTTCGGTACACTACCTGGGTACCAGGGAAGTTACAACCCTTGATCTACCATGACATCCTTCTGGATGTTCGAAACGCAGGCGAACCAGCTAAAGCCGACGATGAGAGCCTCCACATGAGCTCTGAGTATATCGAAGGACTTATCAATACCTGATCTAGGGAGATTCCATTCAAATTCCAGACTGAAGAGCTATTTGCTCGAAGCGGTTGATCGGCGCTAAGATGAACAGTGACCGCCGAAATACGCAACCGAGACATGAACTTACAAGCTGTCTGTCGCCATACGGTGTCTGATTACATCTCCACTTTCGTTACCCCGCATTACACGAGCATGCGGTATCCATGGATCACTTCCTCGACGCGTCCGGACTAGCGTGGTCGAATTCACCGTGAAACATTATCACCGTATCCTCTCGCCCTCGTCACCTTCACTACTCTTTGACTCTGACCATCATCAACTCTTCAAGATCTACTCCAATCGGTGTAGACTTCTTCGACATGTCTGTTCCGTTGAAGATGCTGGAGAAGGAGGTCGAACACCCTGATCGCATCGAGGGATGGCTTGACAAATTGCACATCAAGGGCGCCGAGATCGATGGAAGCGAGTGCACCACCGATACCGATGGAGAGGCAGGTTATGGACCAACTACACCACCTCGGCGATCGGACTACCGCTCTGTACCGCAAGATGAGATATCGCCAACCGACACGTCCTTCTCCGGGCAGAGCATCTTCGACAAGCCACTCCGCAAGGATCTGTTCGGCAGTCCAACCCCATACTTGGAGAGACGAGACGATGGTTCCGACACGACGAGTATCGATAGCCGTGACTGGGCGCCGACACAGGGCAAAGAGCGCACACTTGAACGACCTATACCACCTACCTTTGCTCTTCGACCTAGCAAGCCATCAGCCAGGTTAGATCACCAGAAAGTAGCCTCACACATGGATACAGACGACCTCACAACTGTATGGGATCTCGACCCTCAACAAACTCTTCCTCCGAACGAGCCGCGACCAGTCTGGATAACCTCCTGTCTCCAATGCACACTCTCCGGCCTCCCCTGCTCAAGAACCTACCCCTCATGCTCACGTTGTAAGCGACACAACCGTGCTGAAGAATGTCTCCTCCAGCGTCGACGCTTCGCATCCGAAGTTATGGATTCCTCGACGATGGAGAGGAGCACAGCACCTGCTCTACTCAAAGTGAAAGGCGAAGATGAAGGAGTTTGGGAACGCAAGGTCGAGCTGGCGGAGGCATTGTGCGAGCAGTGGGTTGCTGAGCAGGACAAAAAGAATTGGGTGTTGCCGGATGTTGGTAGTGCGAGAGGTGGATGGGGTAAACGCAAGGGTAGGGCTGGGAAGGAGAAGGTGGGACATCCGGGAGAGGGGATTGGACGGCTGGCTTTTCGGGAGTTGTTTGTTGATGTGGATACCTGAGAAGGCTCTGGGGTATCTGGCATGGTCTCTGCGGCGTTCTTTTCAGCGATGTCTATTCGGTTTGTATGACAAGCCGGGTCGTTGATCTGGGAATCCTCTGGGGCTGATGCGAGGGTATCAGTCGATTTGGTTGCAAATATTTGGGCGCTACACTGAGTACGGCACGAGCTCCACCATAAGCAACCTAAGTAAGATACATGATGAGCTGGTATGAGCTTCGAGAAGCTGTATCACGGTACGGCCTTGTCCGGAGCTTAGCAGTCGCAAGATCAGATAGTTATCGACGCAAACCAGAATTCGTGTTCTGGATCTAGCCTCACAATTGAGTGAGTCTGCTACAGATATTATTGCTTGCGCAACGCCATCAAGTCCATTCTAAAGCTTCGCTCCACCTTTACCCTGCCCAATCAACTCCTCCACCGCAATCTCACTCGTCATAAGAATACACGTATCCCTCAAACTCGGTACACGATGCCTGTGGTTAACCTCCTGATAATCCTCACTCGCTAACATGTCCCTAAAGTGCAAGATACTGGGATAATGCGCCAGCGCAATCTCGTCCCAGTCATCTTTCCCGCCGCCCACCTCGCCATTCGTACCCACGCTGCTGTCGGACGCCTTGGTGATCGCCGAGCCGTTGACATGTGTTGCGTTCCCCACGATCTTTGCGTTGCCGCCGTGCTTGGAGCCGATGGATTTGGCGAATGCGGCACCGTATTTCAGGTATTCTTCCTTCATCCCTGGGTTGAAGGCGAGGAGGTTTAACATGGATACCGCGCCCTTGCCCTCTTTAGCGCCGCTGTTGACGAAAGTCTGGATCCATTTATTCAGCTCATCGCTAAGCTCCAAACTTTGGCTCGATTGAGTGGTTTTGTTGCTCTTCTGCTCTTGGACTTTGGGTACGGAGCTAGGGTCTGGATGCAGTAGCTTCTGGTTCTTCGATGCAAAGTCCTGGATCAGGCGGGAGGGGACTCCGGCTGTTACGCTCCAGTGGTGTTGGACGAGCTTTGAGAGCGAGGATGGGAGCGCGTCGGTGCTGGGCAGGATGAGGAGGAGATCCCAGTGGATGTTTCGGGCGAGGAGTTGTTCGGTTGAGAGCTTCGATGGGAGGATTATCCAGCGGACTACGCGTGAGATGACGAGTGGTGAGATGTTGGCGGACTTTAGGGTGGACAGGAAGGTTAAGATGGGATTGGGTGTGGTGCTGTGGAGGGCGACGAGATGGAGTGTGCAGAGCGGCATTTTGGAAAGGAATTGACAAGATCAGATGTTTACCTGTTTCGCGAATACAATGCTCAGACGGCGGACAAGGAGTAGTATAGATGTTGGTAGTGTTAGGTGGATGACGTAAGTTGACTCTACTTTACCGAGGCTCAATTGTGAGGAGCTGTGGTATAAGCTCCTCGGAGCTGCATCCATTAACTAAGCTCACGCCCTGTCATGCACTTCTGGTACATATGTCCAGTCTGTCTGCACCATCTCATCGAACATAAAGCCCCGAGTGCTTGTAGCGGATAAGCTCTTGCCCGGGAAGGTGCGCCACTGCGGGGCGTCTCACCAGACATGTGGATCAAGACCGCAAGACTGTCCACGTCCACGTCGCAATCAATATGATGAGGAAGCATGAAAGAGGGTGTGTAATGTTGCGAATGCAGTGAGATGTGCAGACTCATAGAAATTACCTAGGTAGGTAAGCAATGCAGCCTGCCTTACGGTCACCGATTGGACGTTCGCGCTACCGGTACATATGTGTGACGTACGTTCCTGCTAGTTGTGCCCAGGTGGAGCTGTAGGCAAACGCGATTTCAAAGCGACAGCAGCCTGGCGACTTTTGCATATATCTGCATCGGCACCGACTGTGTTCTTGCCTTCTACAAATCTCTTCTCAACACAATCTCATCTAAACTCTAATCATGCCGAAGCTCTTCATGTAGGTTCAGATGCGTACTCATGCAGGACGACTGGAACATGGACGACATGCAATTGTATTCGATTCTAGATATTTGAGTGCTAACTAGATTCAGCACCGGTGCCACTGGCTATATCGGAGGCGATGCCCTCTACGCAGTAGCAAACACCTATCCGGATCTAGAGATCACCGCACTTGTTCGTAACAGCGACAAAGGAGCCAAGGTTGCAGCACAGTACCCAAAGACCCGTCTTGTGTACGGCACCCTTGATGATACCGAGTTGCTCACTACCGAGGCGTCCAATGCAGACATCGTCCTCCATTGCGCCGACTGCGACCACGTGGCTTCCGCCAATGCGTTGGTTGCTGGCCTCACACGCAGCGGAAAGAAGACCTATCTCATCCATACCTCCGGAACTGGTGTCTTGTCTTTCGAGGACTTTGAGACCAACACCTACGGCATGAGGCGAGAGAAGGTCTATGACGACTGGGACAACATTGGTGAGGTCACGTCGCTGCCTGATTCAGCGCTCCATCGAAATGTTGACAAGATCATCCTTGGATCGAACGATGTTTCAGCAGGCAACATCCAATCTGCCATTGTCTGTCCACCTTGTATCTGCGGACCTGGACGTGGCCCCGACAACCAGAAGAGTGTGCAGGTGTATGACATGAGCAAGGCCGCACTGAAACGCATGAAGGCTTTCGTCGTTGGTGACGGCAAGAACATGTGGACCCAAGTTCATGTCCAAGATCTCAGCGAGGTATTCCTAGCCCTTGTGACAGCCGCTCTGTCGCCTGACGGTGGCAAAGCGACCTGGAACAAGGAAGGATACTATTTCGCAGAGAGCGGAGAGTTCTGCTGGGGTGATATCGGCACCAAGATCGGGGAGATCGCATCCAAGAACAAGCTCATCAACCATGAGGGAGTTGACAACGTCAGCAAAGAGGAGGCAGACGAGATGAGGCCAATGGGCAGCTACCTTTGGGGTGAGTCATGCTGTGTTCTCGGATATGCCGTTTTCTGACATCCTAGGCACCAACTCTCGCTGCAAAGCTATTCGAGCCAACAAGCTGTTCGGCTGGACTCCCAAGCAGAAGAGCGTTTTCGACCTGCTGCCGGAGATCATCGATGGTGAGGCAAAGGCGATGGGTCGCATCAGGCAGCACGCTGAAGAAGCTGCTGAGGGACGTATCATGAAGTAGTCGTGTGCCAGACCAGGCTTCGAGGCAAGGGAGAGGCGTGTCGGATTTCAGTCACTATCGTGGCGAGAGCGCTGTAGTGATGAAGCAACAAACATGCAGTAGCATAGCCTTTATGAACTTTGTATCGTGCATGCCCTGGTATTATGATTACATGTGCGTGCTAGTCATCGATGAAATAGGAGTGAGCGATGCCCAGGTACCCGCATCTGCCCCGCGGCGGAACTCCACATGTCTGCCCACTGTAGGTGATCACACGACCAACAACATCGGGGAATAGTAGATGCAGTGGCAGAGCATCGAAGGGTACTTGATCCAATGTAACTGAAAAGTCGATGTATAAGGACCGAAATGTCGTGGATGTATTCGCCTTGGCGCTGTCATGTTCCTGAGCTCTCTCGAGGTCGCGCTTGAGCCACGTTCCTAGCTTGCCTTGACCAACGAACAACCGCGTCGACATGGAAGAGCGAGTGAGACAACGACTCCCTTAATTCACGACCTCGAGCTCGCAGTAGATTGCGACTAATTTCCTCGCGACCATGGACATCATACAGGCCGTCTCCGGCTACATCACCAAGATGGTGTCGGTCGGGGACAGCGCTGCGACTGGCACCTCCGCGGCCAAGATGAAGATCCTCCTCCTCGACAACGAGACTGTGGGTTTGTCTGCTCTCCCAGGTGGCGGTACACACGTTACTCATGCTGCTTAGGTCCCCATAGTATCGACTGCGACAACACAGTCCGCCCTCCTCAACCATGAAGTCTACCTTACCGAGTACCGCACCCTCGCGATCCATGGTGCAATGCACGGCTAATACGTTGGCAGCCGCCTCGACAACCCAAAGCGGGAGAAGATGCGCCATCTTCGCTGCCTATGCTTTGTGCGACCGTCGCCCGAGTCTATCCAGAACCTCATCGAAGAGCTGCGAGAGCCCAAGTACGGGGAATACAACATCTGTATGCGCCTGGAAGAACACGGGGCTACGTACGCGTGCTGATGCAGACAGACTTCAGTAATATAATCAAAAAGTCGTCATTGGAGCGCCTCGCCGAAGCTGACGACCACGAAGTCGTACGCGCTATTCAGGAATACTTCGCCGACTTCCTCGTCATAAATCCCGACCTCATGTCGCTCAACCTCGGATTTCCCGATCATCGGATATGGAGCACAAGCCCGGATGCGTGGAATCAGGATGCGCTACAAAGATCGACCGAGGCAGTCATGGCCTTACTTCTGTCGCTGAAGAAGAAGCCCTTGATACGATACCAGAAGAACAGTTTGCTCGTGAAGAAGCTGGCGACCGAGGTCCGATACCATATGACACAGGAAGAGCAACTGTTCGACTTCCGCAAAACAGATACCCCGCCCATACTTTTGATTGTCGACCGAAGAGACGACCCGGTGACACCGCTGTTGACGCAATGGACGTATCAGGCTATGGTTCACGAGCTGCTCGGAATACACAATGGACGGGTGGACCTACGCGATGTGCCAGAGATACGTCCTGAGCTCAAGGAGATCGTGTTATCGCAGGAGCAGGACCCTTTCTTCAAGAAGAACATGTATCTCAACTTCGGCGATTTAGGGCAAAACGCAAAAGAGTATGTCGAGCAGTTCGCGTCAAAGCAGCAGGGATCGCAAAAGCTCGACTCTATTGCCGATATGAAGCGCTTTATCGAGGACTTTCCCGAGTTCCGCAAGCTTTCCGGCAACGTCACCAAGCACGTCACACTTGTCGGTGAGCTGAGCAGACGAGTTGGCGAGGAGAGTCTACTGGACATCAGTGAGCTCGAACAGAGCCTGGCATGTACAGACAACCATTCCAACGACGTCAAATCGCTGCAAAGGATCATCCAAGATCCAAAGGTCCCGGCGAACAACAAGCTCCGGCTGGTTGCCATCTACGCGTTGCGCTACTCAAAGACCTCGTCAAACTCCACAGCTATGCTACTTGACTTGCTCGCTGTTGCGGGTGGACTGTCACGGCATCGCATTAACCTCATCACAAAGCTGCTGACCTACCATGACTCGCTGCAAGCGACTACGGCGGCAGGTGGAGTGCCGGACCTTTTCCAACCTGGGTCATTCTTCGGAGGTGCCCGAGATCGACTCAAGGGCTTGAAGGGTGTTGAGAACGTCTACACACAGCACTCGCCTCGCTTAGAGGCTACGTTGCAGGACATGATCAAGGGTCGCTTAAGCCAGCAGCTGTACCCCTTCGTCGAGGGTGGCGGATCGACAAAGGACAAGCCGCAGGACATCATTGTCTTCATGGTCGGCGGCGCAACATACGAGGAAGCTAAGATGGTTGCGCAAGTCAATGCTAGTTCCCCAGGTATTCGAGTCGTGCTCGGCGGTACCACTGTGCACAATAGCACTTCCTTCTTGGAGGAAGTAGAAGATGCCGTCGACTCGTGGCCCGAGCCTCCCGCTACATCAGCTGCGGCTCGCCTGAAGAGAGAAGTAGGTAGATAGTCGATATCGTCTTGCGAGAGCGAAGCAATGATTCGGGAGTTGGGCGTCGAAGCGAGTGGCATCAAATGCAGGTTCATATTACACGGGTTGATAGAGTTGCCTCATGAATACCACAATCATCTCAATAGTGTTCGTCAGCACAGCCCGCAATGAGTGCAGCACAGTGCATGCCCCGCGCTAAGGGTCGAGATGCATCCCACCAAGGCCCACATCATTCGTTTCAAGCCGGCCCTGAACAGCAGCGCGGCCTATAGGTCGCAGTCAGCAATCAATTGTTGGGCGGTACCTGCATGACTCCGAAGGCGGCGAAAAGTCTGCTAACCTGCTCAGAGCCAAGACGATGCGACAAGGCTGAACACGTGCATCATCACCAACAGGTGTTAAAGTCATCGGGGTTCCCTTACGGGCCGACATCCGATCGCTCACTCCACCACCTCAGCCACCTTCCAACCTCACCCACACATGGCGCGAAAATGAGGATTGCGAGACATGCCAGAACAAGGACAGGTCTTGCAGTCTCGAGTGGTCCGCCGGAGAAATCCACGCCCCATCAACAGCTGCGTTGAATGCCGCACCCGGAAGTCGCGATGCTCCAAGACGCACCCTTGCCAGAACTGCACAGCCTTCGGGCGCGAGTGCGTCTTCATCACCGTCCCTGAGAGCGCTGCGCGCAAGAAAGAGAGGGAGCAGAGAGAGCGCGCACAGAGTAAGAGTGGCGCTGGTGTCACCATCCCGGACTGGACCAAGAACCTCCCCGTGCGCACGCAGAGTAGCGCCAGTGTGCATGATGGGTACGAGAATGCGAATTCCGTCGACACCACCACGCCTGGCACGCCTCCGCGAGACTATGAATGGGAAGCCTACCAGCAGGATGTCGAGCCCGAAACGGATGCCTGGGAGAGACTGCCCGCAGAGCCTGAAGAGACGCAGGACGATGTGTACGAGGACGAGAATGACGATGAAGATCAGATTGCGACGGATCTCACGATTCGAATCGGGAGGATGATCATTTGTGAGAATGTCACCGGATTTTTCCGCCCCCAATACGCCGAAGAGGTACTTTCTGCCCTGTCCGCAACTTTTGTCCCGCATTTCCGTTGCCTTTCCATGACCGCAGACTGAATTGTTGTTTAGCTCGGCAAGCTTCTGTCTGAGAGCTTCACCCCGTCGTCATCAGTCACGGGCCAGAGAGCGACACAATCGTCTGCTCTGCTGTCCGCAGAACAGATGCCGTCCCTTGCACCATCACTGAACCTGCTGCTAGGTGGCTCGCTGCCTCTACATCAAAACAATGATGTGGAAGCACCGCAGCTACCGACTAAGATGGAAGCAGAGGGACTACTACAGCGATACACGGAAGCTGTCAGCCCTCTTGCGCACGTTTTGCATCTTCCGTCGTTCAAGCGCATGTTTGACCGCTTTTGGATGAATCTCGAGATTGGAAATCCCAACCAGAATTCATGTACTGCCTTGATATTGGCCGTGTGCATGGCTGCTGCGGCCTCTGTATCGCCTCTGCAAGCCAAGTCGCAGTTTGGCATCACGAAAGAGGACCTGTTCTTGCGCTTACAAAAAGCTACGGAGCGGGCATTGCTTCGTGCTAATTGGGCGAAGACGTCCAATATACGGACTTTGCAAGCCTTGACGATCTATTTGGTACTTGAACCGACATTCTTGATAGAATTCGAGCATACTAACACATACAGATACCCCTCTGTCGAGCGCAAATATCTCGAGCGACGTCTGTCGTAGTTGGTGCTCTGGTTCGCCTGGCACAATGTATAGGCATACATCGCATGAGCCACAGCTCAGCCAACAGCCTGACACCCCTACAGCGACACGTTCGATCGCTCTTGTGGTACCAAATCTGCTTCTTAGACTTCAAGACAGCCGAAGCGCAGGGGCCCCATCCATCCATTCGATCGGACGATTTCGACATTGCGCTCCCGTTAAATGTAGATGACGACGTCTTCGAGTTTGGCAGTGCAAAATGGCAACAACACCCAGCCTCCACCACCGGCTGGTCAGACGTCACTTTATCGCTGATACGCTACGAATGCAACGAGATCCACCGTCTCATCTTTCGCGGCAGAATTGAGATGGACCGCAAGCACATCACCCTTCACGATCTACGCGCCCGCGTAGAAGCCAAGAAGCGTCAAATCCAAAGCAAATACCTGCAGTACCTGGACGCCAATGTTCCCATCCAACGTTATGCAGGCCTCGTAGCAACTCTCTTAATGTCTCGCTGCGACTCCATGCTCCTCTACCGGCACCTCCCGCAAACCTCCCTGCAACCACGCTCAGAATCCGAAAACCGCCTCCGCGACGTGCTCCTCACAGCAGCTCTCACGACGCTCGAAATTGGCGCAACGCTGGACACACTGCCCTCGCTCTCGTCATGGGCCTGGTACTCAACGACCTACCAACAATACCACGCCGTCCTCCTCCTCCTCACCGAACTCTACCGCACGCCCGACCTCCCGCGAAAAGAGCGCATGGCCACAATCATCGACCACATCTTCGGGCACTGCTACGGCGTCGGCGTACGAGAACGTTGCTCCGACCTCCTCTTCACCGTCAAAGAAAACCTAGAAGCCTTCTACGTAATGAAAGGCTTCAACAAAAAGCGCCAACAAATCGCTCCCCAGCAACATCCCACTCTCCAGCCCCTCCCCTCCTTCGGCGGCTCCGTAACGAGTCCCGCGTTTGGCGCGCAGCAGACGCCGAATAATATGCATGGTCATCTGCAGAGGACGCCTACGTCCGGTACGCTGGATGGCTTGAATGTGGATTTCGATAGTATACTCGGGAGCTTGAATGGTGGGGGCGGCGGCGGTGGGGCAGGTGCTGGGTCGGCGGAGGATTACGATGTCTGGGGTGGTATGAGCGCTGGTGCGGGTCAGGATACGGGTGCTATTTTTGTGCCGGTGGACACGGGACATCATGCTGAGTTTGGGACTACGAGTCCGAATGGGGGGTTGCAGCAGTGGGTAAGTCGTTCTTTCGTTTTTGTGATGGTTGGTTAGATATGAGGGAATTGTGCTAATGTTTGTCTAGGAGAACTGGAATTTCCCGCCTCAACAGCAGAAGTACGAGCATTAATTGGTTGGTGTAGTGTGGTGTTCACGGAACATGCTCGTGTTCGAATAACGCGAGTAGTAGATATCTGGTTAGTCTGTTGATTGAAATAGACACGAGTTCATCTCAAGTTCACGAATGTTTCTGGTCGGACCAAGATCTCACTCATCCTTGGGATCTTCATCGACTGTACACATGGACATTTACTTCGCTTCTTTGACTGTTTAAGAGATGTATTGAGGTTAGCCCTAGCATCGTTGCTACAATTGAACTTGCGTCTGAAGCTCGACACGTAGACGCTGTGATAAGTTCCACCCAGCTCCAAAACGCCACGACACTGGTGCTTGATGTTCCCTCCAATGTAACGCCATATACGCCTGACCGCACTGCAGTCGAGAATGCAGACCTGATTTTCCGCCAAGCAAGTCGTGAACAGCATGTCGATACGTCAAATGTTGGCATCACCAGCTGGTGTTCCTGACAGTGGAAGACATGAGCTCTACGACAAACTTGTTAGCCAAAGAGAAAGACAAGAGGAAGATGGCGAGGGCTAGTAGCGTGCTACTTGAGATTCACTCAACGCACTTCGCTTCATTGGCGGCGGAGGTGGCGGTGGCTTCTTCGCCCTCGATGGAGGTGGTGGCGGAGGTGCCTTCTTGCCGCCGTTGGTCGCCTGCTCACCCGCCTGGGACCAACTCGCTGCTCGCGACATGACGCCGCCGCGCCCACTGCCAACAGATGACGAGGTGTCGGGGCTAGGCGGCGATCGATCACGATCACGTCTATACCCGTTTCCGTTGGATGGCGCATAATCGTCTTCGTAGTCGTCAGCAAACGTGTTCTGTTGGCTGGCGCTAGCTTGTCGGACTGGACGGAGATTTGTTCGGCCGGAGGATATGACGGAGGAATCAGTGGGGACGCGGGACAGTCGGCGGGCAGGGGAGTCGTCTCGGTAGCCATTGTTGTTCTCGTAAGTCGAAGTGCGGCTAAGAGAGGGGCGTAGGGAGTAGCCACCGGGCGACTGCTCGGGGCCAGGGGAGCGGCTTCGCTGGGACGAAAGCTTAGGAATGGTCATGCGAGCGGGCTCAGGCTCGGGTTCTTCTTCGACTGGGTTGAAGCGCTCTGCGTAGCCGTGTGCGGTATTGGATCGGGAGCGCGCGGGGCGGCTAGGCATAGCCCTGGTGTCCCTGTGTCATGTGTCAGAAATGTGCTAGGTCTTATGCTGATCGGAATGTCCTCACCTAGCCGGCCATTCCCGCTTCACGTTGAGCAGAATCTCACGACAGCGGTCGTAGTAGCTCAGTTCTGCCTCGAGGAAAGCAGTCAGGTCCTGGACCATGTCGACTTCGGACTCCTTGATGTCCTGCATCCTCCGGAAGACCTCTTCGCTGGTCTCCTCGTATTTGGCCTTTTGGGCACGTAGTTCCTCCTCCATGCGGAAGTCTTCCTTCTTCGTCTTCTGCATCTTGGCGAGGGAGGTGTCGTAGGCCAGACGGCGTGTCTCGAGCTTCTTGCGGGTAGACTGAGACGAATTAGCTTCCATGGCCGCAATTGTTCTGATGCCGCCGTACCTGATACTCCTTCATCTGAATCAAGGAGCGTTCAAGACCCTCGAGCCATGATGACGTAGCCCCTTGGACATACGTCTCCTGTACTCGCGCCAGACGTTCGTTTGCTCGACCCAGTGCTGCTGATAGTTAGTACGCAGACAGGTGCGATTGGCGTGGAAACGCACAAGACAGGCAATTGCCAAACTCCGAGTCGGGCTCAAAGTCCTCGCCGTGGGTAACCATAGAGGAACCCAAATGGCCACCTGGTAGCTGCTTCTCCTTGTCGGCGCCCTCTGCGCGCTTGGAGAGCGACTTGACGTAGACAGCCATTGCGCCGTGCATCTTGTCCATGCCTGCAAAAGTGTCAGT